TTTTTGTCACGAGAGCAAGGTTGCTATTCTTTTTCAGAAAGCAAACCGCGTGAATGGCTAACTTTGCGCCCGTCAAAGTTTAATGTACAAATTGTGAGCACTAAAACCCTTTCTGTAAATATTCTTATGTATACCCGTTTATTACAGGAATGAATCTTACACTTGTATGCCTTTGAACTCGATTAGAGTTCGTTCGCTCAGTTGGTCGAGAAAACCCTCGCCTGAGCATCGTTTTCTCGTAAATGAGTACTATGAGCTTTGTCCGGGGATAATTAGCTGCAGTTGTCCGTGGAACGAGGAAAATTGCGTGACGCGCCCAAAGAGCGTCTACGTATGAAGCTATATTCTTTCCAGCTTCGATTTAACCTCGACTTTGGTGCCTTTTTGTAGGAGATGCTTGTGACGACGATCAAGACGGTGACGGCATTTCTAATCGTGATGATAATTGCCGGTTGGTCAGCAACCCTGGTCAAGAACACGTCAACTTAGCTTACGACGCTAAAGGTTCTTATCTTTTTATTTTTAAATAAACATTTTATTTGCCCCATTCAGAGGATACTCCAAGATTGTAAGATTCTAAGTTCGACACTATTTTTTGGTTTGTTTTCTCAAAAAAAAAAATGCTTGTTTAAGAGGTCATGTCGCTATAAACCGGTCAGAACCCGAGGCCACGACATGGCGGCAGGGGCGGCAAATACCATGACAACCAAATCACAACTGCTTTTGATTTGCGGTTTACTCAATAGACATCGGCCAAAAGCAACACTTCCTGTTTGTTAAAAACAGTTTATGGCATGAGTCGAGACCCAATTCAAAAGCCTAGCGAATCTTACACCAAAGCAGACACGAAATGGTGGCTCTCGGAAATCGATACAAATTTCACTAGTTGGCTATGAAACCCGGAAAGAGAAGACCTCTGCATTAATTGCACGTAAAAGCTAATAAAGACATGATTAACAGTTGATGTTGTGTTTTAATCTCCCTGCAGCACAAGCTGTTGGTGATGTGTGTGTCGATGACTTTGATGGCGATGGTGTGAAGGATAATGATGACCAATGTCCATATGTGGAGCATATGAGTAAAACAAGCTTTACAGACCACTTCACAGTTGATTTGTATCCCGGACACAGCGATCAGCTGCCTGTCTGGAGGGTCGCTGTAAAGGTATCTCTTGCTCGGTCTTGCCACAATAAGTCATTTCCGAGTTACTCTTACCTCTGTTTCAAAACGAGTGTTGGTGCACACCCTTTCATACTGAAATGAGTTTTTTTCTTGCATGTTAATTGTCCTTCAAATCAAACTCACCTCCATATGAAGTGAGGACTCGTTTTGAATTAGAGGTAAAAAGAAACTCGGAAATGGCTTATTACAGTCGATGTGCTTGTGTGAAGTCTCTGAGAGCTTTTGTGATATCGTGGCCTTCCTTAAGCCTCAGACACCTTGAGTTATCATATAGTGATAAAGCCGACAGTGCTTAACAATGGACAGTGTCTTGCTCAAGGAAACACCGTGGCCCAGGCTTGGCTCGAAGTGGGACCACTCAGTCCGGAAGCCGAGGCACTAAACTTATGCCTCGCTCAAATTGAAAAGAGAGCAAAGGTGCTGGGTACTGGCTAATTGTTAAGGCAGCCTGACAGAATGCTGAGGAGTACCCTGTGATGGACAAGCATCCCAGTCAGGGGGAGCCACTAGCCACTAGGCTAAGAAGCCTTTTCTTTTCAGTGTTACTTTTCAGGAATAGTAAATGTAGAAATGGCATTAACTCGGAAAAAAAATCCGAGTTCCACGAAGCTTTTAATGATCGCGCCCTGATTTTTCTTTGTTAATAGAGCGGTATCAGAAACAGCGTTTTTTCTCTCCTCAGGGTATTGATGTCGAAGAA